GCGAGGAACCTGCACACCAGCAGTTACCGTGGCATGAAACTACTTTGGGAATAACACTGAAAAGTCTGTAGAAAAATAGTAACAGTGATTGACTAACTTCTGTGAGATGGTCCTTGAGAAAGAGTTAAAAGTAACTGCATGGGACTAAGAAGTTGTAATTTTGATTAGGAGCTGAATGTCACTTAGAGGACTATCAGAAACATGTTCCTGATAAAGTACCTCATTGTATCAATGGCAGAGGTTTCCCTTGACATAGCAAAACAAGACATTCCTCCAAGCTGCAGGTAGAAAGAAAGGCTGCCTCCTTCCTTGCTGTGCCACCCACATGCATTGCTAATGGACCAGGACTGATTTTGATGGAGCACTGTGGTGTGGCAGCAAGGATGCTCTCATCACTCTGTTACTGCAGGGAAGCAGAGGACAGCAACCTTAGCTGTTGTCCAGCATTTTAGATGACATCTCCTAGCATCTTGTTCTTAAGACAGGCTCCGTGGTGAAAGACGGATGCCTACTCCTTGTATAGGGCTGAAGATCAGCTCCAAGAAGGTGTCAGGACAGAGGCGGTGATGGGTGCCCCAGCAACTCTGCTAGGAGAAACACAGATGGGCCAGTGGTGTCAGTGGTGAAGTTATGCGCTTCAGGCTTCTCCTGCTTGTGTTATCTTATGTCTCGCTCCTATTTAAGAGATGCCAAACCCATCCCCAATGAAATACCACCTAACATTCAAATGGTTGGGACAATATGTCACATCCCTGGGATTGCGGAAACAGTATATAATTTCTTCCAGAAGTTCAGCACACACTGTAGACAAATGTAGAAGAAAATCTGTTACAGGGATGTTTAACTGCTAGTAGGCTCATTTTTCAGACAAGCAAAGCTTCTACTGCTTTAAAAAAACACTTGGGTTAGGCCCCAGTTGCCCTAGTTAATTTGAACAGAATATAACTGCAATTTTGATGACAGAAAAAATTCTGAGTCAATTCCTCAACATACTGAAGGTAATAGCAAAGTCTTTTCATTTTGGTCATTTTGTGATGTGCAGCTAATTCCTGACATGCAACTTGCACAACGTGCTATTGATTAGCCTGCTGGGCACATTCGACAATAGAGGCTAATTTCTTTTGCATGCGTATGTATTTACATTCCTTCCTTCCTTATGAAAAATAAAGATCAAGGTAAGTATGTTGGATTTCAAGAACGAGAAGCACATTTCACTGTCGCGTTAAGACAACTTTTGTTTAGCAGACTACAACTCGGGGGTTTAGTTTGGGTCATTGATTGAAAGCCAGTGCAGCAAATTCATACAGCATTAATTGCTAGCACAGGCAAAAAAATGTTAAGCAAGAAGGATTAAAGGCTGCTCAGCTCTTTCCAACAAGACAAATTACAGCTATTATTTTATATCAATGAGCTGTAATAATCTTGAATTCCCTGCACTACAAGGAAAATTTGTGATAATGAACTCTTTTCTTATCTACTTTACCTTCTACCTTGCGATAATCAGGGTACTTCTTTGGTAGAGAAGGGGACATTCCTCATGTCAGCTTTTCTCATATGAATTTATTGAACAAAATGCATTTTAAAAATCAGTCTTCCAATCAGATGATATGTTTATTATGATTAATGCTCAAGTAGAGTTGTTTATCATGGATGTTGAAAAATAATGTGATTTTAAAAATAATGTTTCTCACAGGAGTTAACACTTGGACTTCAGTAATGGGGAGTGAAGTCTGAACACACCACTTGCCCTTTGCACAGCTGATCTTTGCAGAGCAGAGAAAGTTTTAACAAAAGTAGCTGCTGCCTTTAGTTTCTTGATCTTTTTTTTTAAATCGGTTTCACCTCTGGCTTTCTGTGCTAGCATGAAGCTGACTCCTCTGCAACCTCTTAGACTTGTTCAGTGCTTAAGTCCCACCTGGGTGGGAGCAGCTTGGAATTTTCATTTGGAACTCACAGGAGGTGATGCTGGATGAAAGCAAGGGCAATCTTCTCAGAATGCAATTCAGAAGCAATTCTAAGCAGGTCTCAAAAGATGAAATCAGTCGAAGAAATGGATCATCTAGAGGTTGGTCCTGTGCTATTCAGTGTTGAAAAGTCTATCTGCACTGCCTCTCCCACCTGATCTGTGAAGCAGGTGTGCAGTGCTCAGCGTAGGTCCAGCACCACGCTGTCACTGGGCTGCGTGCACGCAGGCTGTGGAGGCAGCCGTGCCCACCCTGGGAAACTCTTGCTTACCAGGCTAAGGTTCTGCTTTTCTGGTAAAAAGGTTACATAGCAGCCTCAGGAGGCGAAAAAATGTCAGAAACCTCCTTTTTGTTACCGACGTCCACCCGCTCGTACTTTCCCATCATCCCCATTTGTCCGTGCACGGCACGAGGGATGGGGGTTACTGGTTCCTGCTTCCTCCAGTGCAGCCCAGGAACTCCATTCTGCACTATGTTGCCCCTAAGCAAGTTATAGGTACTAAGGCAAAATTGCCTTAAAAATTACTGTAGGAAGGAAAAATGTGTGTGAAGACTTAAGAGATACTGTGCCCATGTGTTTAAATTTGTGCATTCTAGACTGTGGAAGACAAAGAGGCAGGAGCAGGATCAGCAGGGGAAAACACCAGTTTTTGGGAACAGTGATAGACCTTTCCTCTGTCAGCTGATAAATTAATAATCCCTGATAATTATTGCAGCCAGCTCTGGAGCCCTCAGCACAGGAAAGACATGGACCTGTTGGAGAGGGTCCAGAGGAGGCCACAAAAATGATCAGAGGGATGGAACACCACCAGGCTGAGAGAGCTGGGGTTGTTCCTACAGCCTTCTCTTCTCCAGGATGGAGACCTTATTGCAGCCTTCCAGTACTCAAAAGGGGTCTTCGAAGAAAGATGGGGACAGACTTTTTAGCAGAGGCTATAGCAATAAGACAAGGGGCAATGGTTTTAAACTAAAAGAGGGTAGATTTAGACCAGATCTAAGACCACTGGCACACGCTGCCCAGAGAGGTGGTAGATGCCCCATCCCTGGAGACACTCAAGGTCAGGTTGGACAGGGCTCTGAGCAACCTGATGTAGTTGAAGATGTTCCTGCTCATGGCAGGTGGGTCGGACTAGATGACCTTAAAAGGTCCCTTCCAACCCAAAGATTCTATGATTCTCCCATTTTTCCATCCTTGGTTACTCTTTATTCATCCCAGGTAGAAAATGATAAAAATGAAAACTTCAAGAAGAGGCAGCAAGAACACCTAAAGAGAGATTTACATTGGGGTTTCAGTCTCCTAGACAAAGCTGCTGAGCTTCTGAAACAGCAAGCTGCTCCTCAGCCTCCTCCAACTGACAACCCTACCGTCTAGCTCCTGCCCCTCCACTCTCTACATCAGTACTGTCCCTGTGCATTTCCACTGTATTTCACAAATCCCTACATACATTCCTCTTCTGACACATGAGTTTTTGGGGTTGTCTTTGGGGGGGGGGAGGAGGGTGGGGCAGGGAAAGCGTTTCATCATCTTTTGAACTCACACTTCTGCTTCATCACACATTATACTCGTAGTAGGTAAATGGTAAAGTCTGTTCTGCTTTTAAAATTTAGTAGATAAAACTAGACTCCAGCAAAGCAGGCAATTTGAACACAGAGTAATTATGCCTCCTCTACCAATGGATTTATTTACCACTATCACGAATTTAACGGCTTTCTAGGATCTCTGACAGTCACACTCTGACAAGCTACCAGTGCTGTGGATTTGGGTGACAAGAGCAGATGGAACAATTTAAAAAAAAAAAAATCCATCTTCTAGACTGCTTCAGTTTTAAAGAGACCAGCTGAACATGAGGCAGGCCATCACTATCTTACCGGGAGTGAATCTGAAGGCAAACTCTGCCTTAACACCACACGTGGGATAGTCAGTTCCTGAGAACAGCCGCAACACAACCTCTTTCAGGATTAGTGTTACCTTTTGCACATTTTAAAGGGGATGACAGAATTAGTAATAATTAGCGAGACTCTTTCATCAATTACTAGAGGGAGGGCCCTAGCATCCAAAAAATTGCCATTATGGATGAGTAGCTCTGACACAAAAATCCCCAAATCCTAAACCCTTCCCTGATTAAAAAAAAGGGGGAAAAATGGGAAACAGTATTTAATTAACTTTAAATACTATCTTGTAGTAGCCTAAATAGCAAACAGAAGTAACAAAAGGTAGGAATTCAGTCATTTTTAGGTTACCATAGTACGTAGGCATAACACATGAAAGACTTCAGCATAAAATGACATAGCTGGTGTTGGTCGGGTTTTTTATCGCAGTGGTGTTTTTTTGCTGGTTAACCTTCAGTGGCTCCCTTTAGTGGGAGGGGTATATCCCACCTTTCTGAAAGACAGTCTACATCCACACAAGTGAATAATCATACCTAGGTAATCACAGTGCAAAACACTAATACAGCATTTCATTGTTCATCTTTTTACAATTTATTTTTCCATTTTAAAAATGTCACCTATCATTTTAAGAGGTGAAAGACTATTTGTTAAAAGTTGAAAGTTTACCCTTGGTTAAACCACAGTCAAAGGAATAATTTTTACCTGAACAGCATTATGTATGTTGAAAGTGTCAGCCAGCAAGTGGCCTTGCTTTATATAGGTATATTCCTTCTAAGCAAAGTGTTCCATGTTGTCAAACTGATTTACAAGCAACAGAAAAGTATTGCTCATTCACAATTTCAATGCAATGGCTTACAAACAAGAGTCAGAAAACATTCTATGTCAGCACGCCACAGAAAACATCGTGGCTAAAATAAAAGAAGACAGACAACCAGTGAGATATATAAATCTGTAGCCAGAACGTACATGCTCAAACTGGAACTTAGCACAACACAGAAAAACCACCTTTTGCTTACAGCCTTGCCCATGAACAATCAAAAAGCAAGCACGCAGCATCCATGTTGTCTCTTCTTAATGTCAGCCTACAAATACTGCAAAGCAACTACGATCTTGTACGACTTCCAAGGCAACTTGTTGTCTTTTTGAAAGGCTAATGTATTTTGTATGGATCTAAAGACGGATTTGAGGCTGTCAAACAATCCATTTGGCTTCTAAAATTGAAGATGGTTGTTTCGTTAACTGTGTTTTATATTAATAGCAAAATAAAATATTTGACTTTGAACTAGACTCACCTGCAATCAAGCATAGACAAGTAGACAGCATTTGCAACATTACTGGCATCATGATACAATATTCTATGTACGACTTGGGGCATCAGCATTAGAACATCATGTCATCTAGCCCATCCTCCATAAACTTCTTGTAAATTGCCATAAACTTTGCTACAAATGCTTCCAGATGATAAATGGCTTTGCTGCCGAGTTGCAGGCGGTGTTCATAGAAGGCTGCCATCTGTGCAACTTCTCCTTTCAGTTGTCCATCACAGTTATTTAAAAGTTCTGACAGGAGGCCCTAAAAGGGGAAAAAACAGGACAGTATTTGAAAAATTATATATTTTTTCTTAAGAGGATAACCTCATTTCTCTGAAAATAGCCAAGCTATGACCAATAGTTTAGTCATGAATCCAACAGAAAAGACATTCAAGAATCATTAAACCACCTGTTTGACAGAACTAGATTTGTGGAACCATGTCTTCTCAGAAACTTCTTTCAGGATAAATTGCTCATGTCAAAATAGATGTTACCTATTGTGTTCTTAGATGGAAAAATCATGTATTGGAACTTCGTACACCTTAATAAAGAAAATAAATTAAGCTAATCTCCAAATACTATAACCTCTACTGCATGCAGGCACATGGCACTAGGGAGAACTGTTACCAAGATAACGAGTGTATTAAAATCACTTCCTGTCTCAACAGCATCAAGCACAAAGAGAAACAACATAGATAACAAGGTATGGGCTTATTTAAAATTTAGGTATATCTGTCTACATTTATGTACATACGTATGTGTAGACACACACAAGATACTTTACAATACTTCAGTCATTACAAAAAGCAAAAATGCATTATTTTAGATCCGAGACAGCAATAAAATCATTGCAAATACATCTCTACTAGAACAGTCAGGATTAAGTGAGAATTATCTCTAGACCATTTCAAGTTTATGAAGAGGGAGTGGGTAGAGAACATCCACCTCTGGCCTGATGACAACAGTCTCTCAAACAGGGCAATGCAGGACACACTAACCTACCATCACACAGGAAGGTTAAAGAAATGTCTAACTACCAAAACTGTCAGAAAGCAGTTAATGTGAAAATAAATTTATTATCTTGTAATTATGTCCTATGGCAGAGTCCACCTAGGATAAGTTGCAAACATTAGCTTTAATCTTTGTTCTTTGCTAGCTGTCTTCAGCACCCTTTCAGCATGCCTAAAACAAAAACATGCACACCCCATTTGCGTTTCTTCAAGTTCTGTCTTTGAAGAGACCTGCTGGTCTAGCATCCTTTAGCAAACCTCTCCACTAGGACGTAGCAAATATTGAACTTATAACAACAAAACTTTTACAAAGGAAAACCATATCAATATTAACCCATGAAACACGGCTATGCTTCAATACGGAAACTGGCCTGAGAAGTCCTCAGGGGGACAAAGCATGTCGTCCTTTGTTTTTACTCAGCTGCTGATGATGCTGCTGTTCTGTGATCACATAGCAAGTTTTAGTAAACCATTCAACAGAGGTGTGAATTGCGTTCAGTTTTGGGCCCCTCACTACAAGAAGGACGTTGAGGTGCTCGAGCATATCCAAAGAAGGGCAACAAAGCTGGTGAGGGGTCTGGAGCACAAGTCTTCTGAGAAGCAGCTGAGGGAACTGGGGTTGTTCAGTCTGGAGAAGAGGAGGCTGAGGGGAGACCTTATGGCTCTCTACAACTACCTGAAAGGGGGTTGTAGTGAGGTGGGTGTTGGTCTCTTCTCCCAAGTAACTAACAATAGGATGAGAGGAAATGGCCTCAAGTTACGCCAGGAGAGGTTTAGATTGGACATTAGGAAAAATTTCTTTACTGAGAGAATGGTCAAGCATTGGAACAGGCTGCCCAGGGAGGTGGTGGAGTTGCCACCACTGGAAGTGTTCAAAAAATGTTTGGACATGGCACTTTGGGACATGGTTTAGGGGGCATGGTGGTGTTGGTTAACAGTTGGACTTGATGATCTTGAAGGTCCTTTCCAACCTTAGTGATTCTGTGAATACAGAACACTGCAACAAGAGTAAACTAGACATTTACATCTTCCACTTTAGAGAACTGAATCCTCCTGCCTCCAAAAATCTATGCAACTCAAAACCATCACGCCTAAATACATTTAAATTTTATATATACAATATACTTAAGTATAGGCATGAACCTAACTAAACAGTCTAGTATTAATTGACTGAGGATCATGAGAAGTGAATGCTGTGTATCAGTGTTCGAAGGAACAAGGTCTTTAATTACTGCTTCAGAGCAACAACACAGACTATTTTGGTTACTCCAGTGGAAAGAAACAAGAGAGAAAAGTATCTTTTGGTCACTCATGTCTACTTGGAAAGGACACAGCTTTTCATGAATGTTTGGATGATTTGTGATGTTTTGGTGTGCTGTTTTTTTCTGGGGTTTTTTGTTGGTTTTTTTTTTTACTCAAATTGAGACCATCATCGCATTAATATTTGTAACACATTACAAGCTAAATAGCTGAATTACCTTCATTATAATCTCAGGAGGAATACAGTGTGTCAGGAGTTCATAAAGCCGTCCACGGACCTCTAAAAGCCTGTTGGAAAGACACCACAAAATATCAGAAGTATGTCTCCAAAGCATGCTAATGTGTTTTCACTATTTGTGAAATATGCTTCAGGGGAAAAAAAAAAGTCAACCCAAGCAAAGCTTTTTTTCCTGCTTTGGGTTTTGTGTGTTATCTTTAAACCCAAAATCATTGCACAAGTCAGTCAGTGTGAATTCAACTGCTACATATCACCTTTTATTCAAAACAGTAAGAGAAGTTACACATACTCTAGTTACAATGCTCTCAGTTAATCTGGAAGCTACAAGGCTATTAGCATTTGTCTCAGGCTTGCCTCCCTTTAATTCCCCTTCATATCTAAATTATTATTCATGCTTAAGATTAGCAAGAAGACACCACAAAATTTATTAGAGCCACAAGATTCATTTCTGCTGTTTTTCAGTCTTCATTGTTTACAAGAGGGGGTAAGATGATTAGGTGGCAGAAAGTGACAAAGTTATCAATTCTCCACTTTTTATATCAGGAGGTCAGAGGTTACAAGATTTAATTTAAATACAAGAATTTAAGTGACACCTCATGTAATGCATGGAACAAATTAAAAGGATGAGGCTGAGTATATGACACCAAGATGGATAAAGAGGGCATCTCCTAATGTGCTTAAAAAAAAAAAGCAATGATTTATCATTTTAAGTTCTTTCACAAATGTGCATAATGCTAAAGATGGTGAAACAAAAGCCTTAAATAAATAAAAAAAAAAACCCAAAAAAAAACCGCGGCCCCCCCCCACCCAAGACAGACAGCACAACATGTAACTAAGTTTATGCTCACTTTTGATTACAAAGCTTCAACAGATAAAACCAATAATTGTTTTAGTTCCTGAAGCTCATTCAGCCTCCTCTGGTAATTTTAAAGCTTACTTCCTCTGGCTGCAAAATACCAGCTCCAGTAGCAATACCAGAAAATTATATAAAGCTAAAGTAAAGATGCCACATTTTTAAACATAACATTTGGTTTTTTAGGTTTGAGAGTTCACTAAAAACATAATTTATATCTGCAAGCAAGTGTATTCACATACCTTTGTGGTGTCTGTTGACCAACAATAGCATTTGCAGTTTCTCTCAAATAAATTTCCCAGTCCATTTCAGGAATGTCTTGATCAGCAGTGAAAGGATACCTACATAACAATATTTTTTAAAAATTAAAATCAAAACAAACTGTCACCTCTTCTAACAAGGCCTCAGAAGTAAGTTAATTTATGTGTCAGAGTATAATTTACATTAATTTTTAGCAGTGACTTACTGTTGTACTCTGCAGGACTCACACATGAGTAGTGCTTTCCGAAGATTCCTGCCAGATTTCTCTGCAAGCCTTTGGGCCAGTTCCTGAGGAAGAGTCAGACCTTCTTTCTTACACACACTGGACAAGACGTGGCAGATCTAGACGGGAAACAGATAATGGGGAGCACAACACTTAGCAAACAGTTTAGTAGTTACAGATTCTCCTGTTTGAAACATTTCTGGACCAGAGATGGACCAGTCTTTCATAAGACATGTGTCATGGTTTAAGCCCAGCCAGCAACTAAGCACTACACAGCCACAGTAGGATGGAGGGGAGAATTGGAAGAGTAAAAGTGAGAAAACTCGTGGGTTGAGATAAAGACAGTTTAATAGCTAAAGCAAAAGCCACGCAAGCAAGCGGAGTAAAACAAGGAATTAATTCACCACTTCCCATCAGCAGGCAGGTGTTCAGCCATCTCCAGGGAAGCAGGGTTCCATCACACATAACAGTTACTTGGGAAGACAAACACCGTAACTCCAAATATCCCCCCCTTCCTTCTTCTTCACTCAACTTTATATACTGGGCATGATGCTGTATGGTATGGAATATCCCTTTGGCCAGTTTGGGTCAGCTGTCCCCTCCCAGCTTCCCACATCCCCCCTGCCTTCTCACTGGCAGGTCAGCACGAGAAGCTGAGCAATCCTTGACTACTTAACATACTGATGTTTTCAGTTGTTGCTATCAACCTTTGCTCATCCCAAATACAAAACACAGCCTCACACTAGCTTCTGTGAAGAAAATTAACTCTACCCCAGCTGAAACCAGGACAACATGCTTGACAAGTCACCCACCACAAAGGAAAACTAGGTCACTTTGTGGAGGTAAAGTATTTCACAAACTCACAGCAAGAACGTGTCTACTATGAAGTTTTAAATAGCTTATTTTTGCTTCTGTTTCAACATACATCTTCAATGCTTGGAGCAGGCACTCGTACAGCCAGGCATCTGCTTTGAATAGGTCCTATAATTTTTGACATGGAGTTGCAGCACAGGATCAACCTGCAGGTCGCCATGTACTTCTCCATTGTTCTTCGCAAAGCATGCTGAGCATCTTTAGTGAGTTTGTCGACTTCTGTTAACAGCACCACTGAAAAAGGATTAAAAATAGCGGGGTTTTTATTAATATCAAATCTTTCTAAGAAAATGAGTACTTTGACATACAAGCGATAATACCAAAATAAATGATACAAGCAGAAAAAGGCAGCATGGTTCCACAGGCAGGAAAATAAAGATTAAGACTACCTGCATGTGTTTTTGTATAGTCTTCTGCTCCTTCACACCCTATATTCATGTCCTGGAATATCAATTTCTTTAGAGCAGGGCCTGCAACACTTCAATGCCAAGAAATAATCCAGGTAGGTGTAAAAGCTTTCACTTTGATGATGATGTAAAAAGCACAGTAACTTTTTAAAGGGATTTTTAAGGAAGAAATGCAAAAGAATTTATGGCATAAGGACATATCAAAAAGCAAAGATTTCTTGAAGACTCCCCTCAATACATTTTATATTTAAAAGCCAATGTCTTAGCTTAACAAAGGAGTAGCAGAAAGCTACCTTGTTATTGTAGCTGCAGCACCTTTCCATGGTCTTTTATAGGAAAAAAAAAAAAAGAGAGAGAGAGAAAAATGTATTTAAGAAATCCTTCAGAACAACCAGGAGACACCTAATATGAAGCAGCTAACCTGACCAGCTACCTTCTGCAGGTTCCTCCATAGGAAACTCATAGATGGCTCATTTCAGTACTCTGAATGGTCCAGTGAGAACAGCCTGGAGGAACAGGTCAGCCCATTACTCTTCTGGTTACATACGCAGCCTAAGGAGACCAGCCAGCTTACCAGATACTTTGAGGTGCATGGTATGACTGCAGCCATAAGGATATATACACCAATAACTGGTAGAGTCAACCAGTGTCTAGCAGCTTAGGTGAAATATAGTACTTTGTCTTGATCTCAGGAAATACTAAGTCCGTGACCATTTTCAACTAATTTCTGCTCTAATATACCTGTCAAGATTTCCTCTCTCCTTCAACCTCTTCTTATATAGTTCTGATTTTACTTTCAATTTAGTCATAAGCAGGAAAAATAAAGACAGTTGTAGCAACGTGTCTTGAAAAACTCAATCTACAGGGTAGTGGTCAACGGCTCAATATCCAGATGGAGATCAGTGACAAGTGGTGTCCTTCAAGGGTCGTACTGGGACCAGTACTCTTTAATATCTTCATCAGTGACACAGTGGGATCAAGTGCACTCTCAGCAAGTTTGCAGATGTCACCAAGCTGAATGGTTCCATTGACATGCCTGAAGGATGGGATGCCATCCAGAGGGACCTGGACAAGCTTGAGGAATGGGCCCATGTGAACCTCATGAGGTTTAACAAGGCCAAGGGCAGGGTCCTGTACCTGGGTCAGGGCAAGCCCTGGTATCAGCACAGGCTGGGGGATGAAGGGATTGAGAGCAGCCCTGCTGAGAAGGACTTGGGGGTACTAGTGGATGAAAAGCTGGACAGGAGCCAGAAAAGTGTGCTCACAGTCCAGAATGCCAATCGCTTCTTTGGATGTAGACCAGGATACATGGCCAGCAGGTTGAGGGAGGTGATTCTGCCCTTCTACTCTGCTGAGACCCCACCTGCAGTCTTGCGTCCAGCTCTGGAGCCCTCAGCACAGGAAAGACATGGACCTGTTGGAGAGGGTGCAGAGGAGGCCACAAAAATGATCCGAGGGATGGAACACATCTCCTGTGAGGACAGGCTGAGAGAGTTTGGTTTGTTCAGCCTGGAGAAGAGAAGGCTCTGGGGAGTGCTTCTTG